AAATATTTGTTTGTGATCATATCATCATCATCAACTTGCATCGCATGCAAATAGGAGGAGTTTTCATAGTGCATTTTTTGGAAATACTGCAATATAGCACCAACATCTCCCTTTTTCATTTTAATCTTTCGCTTGCTATGTCTATAATTCCTATAATCTTTATCCAAAAATCCAAGATTGTCACGACCTCAAACTTCTATGCTCATTAGCTCCACACTTGCTTTAATAGGTAATCCTGCATTTTCTGCATCATCAACGTGTGCTATTTGAGCCTCATACATACTTCTATTGATCTTAAGCATATGCTTCATTGGTGTTGCAATCAAATCATGATTATGACCTTCCTCAAACGACACAACCCTAAATTTTCTGTTCTTCTGAAGTAGACAAGTCATATGTGCTCGGCAACCAACTCTTGAAATTGGTTGCAAATAAGTTACAACTTAACGCCGTTTGTCTTTTTGCCGGTAACCTTCTTTTGAGCAACAATAACTTAATCGTGACACCAAACTCATCTTGTTTTTTGTCTGGTGATGTTTCCGTACATTGAAACCACTTTTTCTACCATAATCTACGTAAAACTTAAGTTTAATCTCAGTTTACTACCTTAAAGTTTCGTGGTTTTCAACATTTGGTACATGAAATTTTTTTCATCCTAGAGTCATACCTCTAAGTTTTAATTTTCGGACAGTCTCATCCATCTGTGATGCTAACTGTTAAGTCATCCATTAACTGGTGATGTGACTCTATGTGAAGAATGACATAGCACCACAAGTCGTTAAGGGTCCACGTGGAAATAAAAAAATTAAAAAAACTAAAAAATTAAAAAATTTAAAAAAAGTAGAAACGGGGATAATTGCTTCCTCTGTCCCCGTCCATTTTTCTCTCTTCTGCGGATCTGGGTGTGACGGAGATGCAACTTTGGTGGTTCTGGCGGGTTGTAGCAGGTGGTCAGGCAAGCGCGAGCTTGCCATGGTCGAGCAGCAATAGGTGCGGGTCCTGGTGGATCGAGGTTGGTTGGGTGGTTCAGGCATAAAAGAAATGGTTGGGATCGGGGCTGGTGAGTTTGGCGTGCCTTCGGCTTTGCCCAGCTCCGCCGCAGCTCGGATTAAGGAACAAGAGATGAAAACCTAATGAGTCGGATTTGGCCGTGGACTGAAGAGATGAGCAGGATTTCTTTGCCCTTCACCTTCGTCCCCAAATTTCTGCAATTTTTTTTGAAGGGCAAGAATAGGGAAAACACTGGATATTGGAATTGGAAAAAAATTAATGGGCAAACTCCATAGACAAAGAATTTGAATTCTTGGGAGCAAATCAGGTCGATAGGCTTATCATTGGGCACACTTTATTCCCTTTCAATTCCTTCGTCGGTAGCCAAATCGATCTCCACCCAGCCATTGCCAGTGGCAGCAAGAGGAAGGGCGACGGTTACGAGGTCCGCAAACCTCTGCGGAGGGTTACAAGGCTGCGAGGGCAAGGGTTGCTAGGGATTTGAGATTTGAAGGACAACTCAATTTTTATTTTTTTAATTTTTTATGTTTTTTAATTTTTTAAGTTTTAAGTTTTTTTAATTTTTTAATATTCACGTAGGCTCTTAATGACACATGGCGCTCAATCATTGTCCATATAGACGCCACTTCGTCAGCCAGACTAACAGATGTATAAGACTATTCCAAAATTAACACTTTAGGTATGACTCTAGGATGAAAAAAACTTCATGTACTAAATGTTGAAAACCACAAAACTTAAGAGTAGTAAACTAAGATTTACCTTGAAACTTATATGCATTATCCCACGAGCTAAATTCCCTTCCAAGTACATCCACATGAACTTTCGTTCTATATAGATTATTCGCAGGTGGATTATCATATTGTGACTCACCTTGTAAATCAACTCCGGAATCACCGCATGGCCCATTGATTAAACCTAAAGTATCCATCTCTAGTAATTTGAAAAATAAAAATATTGTGAACAAATGAGTTGTTAAACTTAAACAGCCACCACATGAGTATTTTCTTTTTTTCAAACATATATATATATATATATATATTCCCAAATTGATGGATTGAAAAAGATATACCTGATGCTGCTGATGAGATATGGAGATTAAAGAGAATCCATGAGGAAGAGGATTAGCTTTTGTCTAAGAAGAGGAACAAAAGAAAAGTTGGGGTCTGTGCGAAACAAAAGAGAGGAAAGAGAGAAGACTAGACATATTGAACCGGGGCATAAGGTGATTTTGATCCTTTACATAATATTTTAATATTGGATAATTATTTTAGAAAGGAGAAAAACAATGGATTGGTGTCAAACTGATAAGCAGCCACAATGGCTATTCAGCAGGACTTCCTGCTAACCATTAAGCAGGCAAGTTTTGTCCCTAAATTTTCGAGGTGCACAAATTATTGTTTTTTCTTTAAACAATAGATATTGTTATATTAGTCATTGACGAGTTTAAATCTAGGTCGTCATGCAAATGTTCAACTTCATTTCACTACTGTGGTAAAAAGCCACTTGCAGGTGCACAAATTAGATTAGTAGCTACAGTTTGATTCTCTTAGCTATTAACTAGCACTAACTCATGTTCAAACTCTCTAAATTCTGAACAACGTGGCTGCTGTTCATTACGTTGGAAAAGTTAGCGATTTGGAAATTTGATTTATTTTTTATATTTACTTTTTATATTGGTGGTGCTATGCATATCTCTTTTTATATTTCATTCACTACTTTCAATTTTCAGCCGTTATATCAAATAAATTGAAAAAATTAAACGATAAAATTTAACAAGGTGCGTGCTTGAGCTAAAAAAGTGTGAATAACCATGCCCTTTATATTTTATGTATTAGTGCTTTTTAGTAGAATACTTATTTTTTTACTTGTTATTAGGCTTTAAGATTGCTCATTTGTTTGTTCCAGGATTGGATTTTTATAAATACACCTCTTGTAACTTCGTATAGATCATGAGGCAAGATGTAGTCCATCCCATAATGTAGTCATTTTGGTAAATAAGTAGGTTTCTTCTTTCATTTCATTCAATGAAATAATGATCAGAGTTTGCAATCAGTTTTCTTCTCGTTATTTGATATGTTAACAAATTAAAGTAAGGACGTTCTATTTGGGAGTTAGCCTTTTCTAATCGCTTTGAGTAGGAAAGAAGTAGCCTCCTTTGTAGTAGATGGCTATCCCGAGGTCTTGGTTATTTTAACTGTTTTGTGCGGGTTTGGAGAGTAAGGATAATTTGGTAGACCATTGACCAAGTCTTATGTGTAACTCAACTTGCTTTATCCATTATCTTTCTTTTATTAAAAAAAAAAAAAAATCTTTTGCCCTATCGATAACCTCATTAATTTAGAACCAGTAAACTGTTACGACTCATGAGGCATGCCACATATAGTATCAAATTATTGTTATAGAGCAAAAAATAACCCTAAAAATCCAAAAGACGACGCGTTGACTTTTTCTCTACAAAGACATGAATGCCCTCATTAAATGGTTAAGGCATACAAATATTCTCACACGCAGCTCAACATCCCTAGAGGTCCAAGACTACTGCTCAAAGCTCCCCCTCATGGCATGGAAAAGTCAAAGGCATTAAAGATATGATTAATTACTAAATCTTATCTTTAATACATTCTCAATTGAAGACCAACTCCATTGAGTACGGAATCCTTATCACAACCAATCATGAATGTTTCTATCATCATTCCAAGATATTATCTCCTAATTATTATCTTAAGAATATTCTTTCCTCATTCATTGACCAATAAGATGGTGTCACGGGTGGGGCAAAACCCTAACCCTATGGCCGGCCTATCCTTGCTATAAATACCTCAATCTCCACTAAATTTTGGTAAGCTTTTTGCTATGCATACAACCCTAAACACTCACTCTTTTAAAAGTTATTGACTTAGGCATTGGAGATCTATTGGGCAAACCGCCCACCTTGTTGGCTCGTGAGGCTTTGGTCTATGATCAAATGTGTTAATTATTTTGTAGATACAAATTCGTCAAGACTAAAGACGGCATATTTTTACTATCACAGTTGCAATCCACATATCGTATTAAAACGTTGAAATTTGAGTTAGTGTTGTCGTACTCTTAATTAATTAAGATAATCCCATCACTAGAGTAACTTATAACTCAAGCAATTAAGAGGATTTATTTTGCACACAAAGTCCTCAGTTGAATTCATTCCTCCTCGATATCGCCTTGTTATTTGTTGAGAAGTTGATATCGCTTGTATAAAGAAATAGCTACTAGCAATGTCTTATTTCACACAGTTTGTTCTTACTGAGTAAAGTGTTCCTACTTTATTTCTGAGTAATCCTTTAGCACCCATGGAATCTCTGCATCTAGAAAATTAAAAGAATGAGTCCAATTCGACTACCATTAGGCGGTGGCTTGCGAGTGGAGGCTGTCTCATCGTGCTTTGCTTAATCATCACTTACAAAAAGGCAGACACCATAAACTCAGATGATTAAAGGCAAAGGTGTGTTTTAATTAGTGCTATCCAAGAACAAGTTTATGAATTTGATTAAATTCAATAAGACAATTAAATAAAAAGCAAACCCCCACCCTTGAGATTGCGCATTCTGCTGTGCTAAAAGCCTAAAAGATAATTTTAGCAATGCAATGAACCTACGACAGAACAAATACGTGTATTCTATTCATTCCACAAGTCTACATCCAGGTTGCACCAACAAGTGGGGATTCAGCGCATTAGTAATGCTTTCTTGTTTCGGGTTCGTGCAGACCTGGACTTCCACCCTCTGCACTCAAATTCGAATTCACCTCTGCACCCATCATGATACTCCCCTTGAAACCATCCGTAATAGAGATGTATACGGTCCATCGACGTACTTTAATTTGCCTTGGCGCAAAGCACATAGGAAGCTAACCTTATCTCTGTGCCAGCAACTGGCCTTTTTTATGTAATCTGCATTCGGATCGAAGAAAAAAGGTTTAAAATTTCATTCTTCCATTCGAGTTTCTGCTACAAATTTCACTCTGGAAACTGCATATTTTCCTTTGGCTATTAATTCAAATATGTTACAAAACAAACTGAATGATCTCAAACTCAATAACGAAGGAACGAATGGACAGTTCAGAACATCCGAAATTACATTGTACACGCAACTTTTTCTTTCCTGCCTTCCTCTTAGAGATGGACAAAAGATTCAAACTAATCTAGTACTTCCTCTTCCTTATTTTGAAGCTCATCGATCGGATGACATTATCGTCGGCTTTGAGATTTGCTTCAAGAACTTCGAGAGAGTCAGGTTTTGTGAAGTAGGTAAAGAGGAGGTAGATACCATCCAGGTAAGTGTTAGACTCTCCCGCTTTGTTTTTCTTCTGGATGCCATACGCTAGAGGAATTACCCCTCTGTTGAAGACCTCCACGTACATGCCACCCCCGGCTATTAGCAACTGCAAAATATGGATCATCAGAATAAAACCTTGTAACCAACTACACTCACAGTTTTATAACCTGAGCAGGAAACGTAATGCTGCTTAAAGTAAATTGCACGTGTCAAAATTCATCTTATTTCAAATAAGCTCTTACACGGTTATCACAGCCATGACGCAATAAGTTACACAGCGTGCCAAAATTGAAGTGTCCGACATGAGTACTTCTCAATATACACAATTGGGGACCTAAAGACAAGTTTTCAGAGGAAAGTTTCAGCAGATGTACTGCAAACTTAACTACATTATGAGGACTCAAAATTCATTAGATTAGTAGTATCTTCGACATATCGCTCTAATAGCGAAAAGCGTTTCGCACTGTAAATGCAAAGTAAACTTTTCAAAACTAAACATCTCTGAAGGTCCTAACTCACTAAGAAATAAATGCATCAAATACCATCCGCCAATTGCCATTTTATTATATGTATCAATTCAACCAAAAATTCCAACTTTGTTCACTAATTTTTCTTATCTTTTCCTCAAATTTTCTCATCCGCCAAACAGATTACAAACCAAAATTGAAACAAATGGGTAAAACCCACTAATATTAAGAGCCAAAGAAATCAAATTTACTTCACCAAAATAAAAAGGCAACAGAATTTGGAAAAAAAATAATAATAATAAAATCCTTTTACCTCCTCGTACTTCTGGGTAAGAGTAAGTCTTTCGTCCTCGGACATGTCGGGTCTGAGCACCGCCATGGTCTCGTACTGTCGGAGCCCCGGTGGGCATGGGGGTTCCTCCTTCTCCTCCACGGCGGTCAAGCCAGACCCGGGCGGGGAAGTCGGGTCGTCCTCCGACTGAAACCCGCCCTCGAAAAACGAGCCCGAGAACTCCAGGGACTGGACATTGGCGGTTAGGCGCGAACTGGGATTCGGTCCGGTTCGGTTAAACCGAGGGAAGGAGACGGTTTGAGGTAGAGATGGGATTTGGGAAATTGTTTTGGGGCAAAACGGGAAATTTGAAGAAGGGGTAAGAGATGAAATGAGGGAAGAAGTGGAAGCCATTGCTGGAAGGTTTGGAACAGAAGAAAGGTTTTGGGTCAGTCCTCGGTGGATACTGATAAGGGGCTAGAGGAGAGGACAATGGTGAATGAAACGACGGGTCGTGTTTTTTTGTTGCGTTTTAGTGTAGGTCGTAATATAATATGACGGGTTGACAACTCTGGATACTGACATATGAACTAAATCTTATAATTAACTAGTAATAAATTAGCATTAATTCGATTCAAATATGTGAGAATTGAATTTAAAAATTCTTATTTACAAATAAAAAAAAATACAACTACTTATAAATAAAAAAAAATACTACTAAATCAGAATACTAAGTGGCGGTTACCCTCACACTCATAACACAATTGGAATACAAGTAATAATCATTCAGCTAATGTTTCATTAATGAAATCATAATTCTTGAATTTTTTTTTCTGATGAATACTATTAATTTATTGTTTAGCGGGTAAACTAATAAACGGGCGATTACCACCCCGGCACATGAAATCAAACCTACAGGCCCAAGACCAGCCCACATTGAAGCCCAATAAAATTCTATTTTCTTCTTGTAAAGGAAGCAAAGAGCGAACATAACTCAGAGAGGCAAAAAAGCAAAAGCAATCGGAGGAAGAAGAAGACGACAAGGCAAGCAACCGCAGGAACACTAGAGAGATGGATCCGAAGTTCACAGAGATCGCACAGCTCTTCGAGCGATTCAAAGCTGCATTCGTACGGAGCGATTTCGATGCCTGCTCCAATTTCTTGTCTCAGCTCAAGGTAACTCACCAATCCCCAAAAACCCTAATTTTCAATCCCCAATTCGAGATTATCAGCTGCTTATTCACATGATTTAGTAATATTTTTATGTCGTTTCACTGCTTAGTGCTAAAGTATGATTCTTGTGTGTCAGTGCTAAGTATGATTATTGTGTGTCAGTGCTAAAGGATGATTCTTGTGTGTTGCCCCGATGTGATTAGGTTTTTGGGTCAGTCAGAGTAATGGGATTGTCGTTTTGATTTGCTTCCTTTGAAATATTTTGTAATTAGATTTTGGGTATTGGTGAATTGAATTTACAAGATTTCAAGATTTCGGTGTAACTTGTTGTCGCAAGTGTTTGGTTGTTAAGCTGCTAGGGAGTGAAATGCTACTCAAAGACGTTAGTTCGGAGGATTTATTAACTGGTTTTCATGTGAAGATGTATGGAATTATGGTGTTGTTGTACGTGGATTGAGTTGTATCGGTTGTGTTTTCAGGTTAAGTTGACTGAATTTGGAAGCCTACCGCCGTTGTTTCAAGACACACCTAATGCTGTCAAGGAATTAACATTAGCAAGTAATGTTCTTCATCCAAATCTATTGCTTCTAGTTTCCTGTTCGTGTAGTTCCAAACTAATTAGTGAATGCGCCAGAAACAAAAATTATGCTTTTATTGTTCATTTTGCTACCTACTTATGTGGTCACGAAAGAGTGTGCTAGTTTAACATTGTTCATTGGTGTAGTCACCTTCATTATCTTAACCCAACTACCTCCTCATTTTCATGTTTCAAAACTGTCAGGGGATATATATGAGCATGCTGTTGTTCTTAGTGTGAAGATTGAGGATCAGGATGCATTTGAAAGGGATTTCTTTCAGTTGAAGTCTTATTACGTAGATGCTCGGTAAGTTATCATCCCCTTAAGCTAACTATGAAGTTGCATTCTGTCTGTGCAATTATAGCTTTGTTTATCTTATACCAATTACTCGGTCTTTTTTTCTAAACAGAAATAAATGTTTGTTTAGAAAGATTGTTAATGATTTTACTTTTCTTATGGAGTAGAGATCGTCTTCCACAGTCCCCTCAAGAGTACCCAATTTTAGGTCTCAACCTGTTGAGACTCCTTGTCCAGAATAGAATTGCTGAGTTTCACACTGAACTGGAACTTCTTTCATCTGCTGCTTTGGACGACCCTTGCATTAAGCATGCTGTGGAGCTAGAGCAATCTTTCATGGAGGGGGCTTACAACCGTGTGTTGAGCGCTCGTCAGACAGTGCCACACGAGACTTATGTTTATTTCATGGATCTCCTGGCTAAAACAGTCAGGTAATTTGTTTTACTTAGTAATTATTATGTTTAAATAATTGCAAAAGTTCTTCAAACTTGTGACAAGAAATGCTAATATCTGGAAGTTGGGAATGTTTTTACTTTGGAATGTTCCATCGTTGTCCGTGGCTCATAGGAATATGTGAATGATTTGAGCCCATCATCTTCCTGTTATTGAACTTATTGTGTAGTTAGCTATTTAGATGATATGTTACAATGTACAATTAAAATGTCTTTGCGGATTTCTATTTGGTTGATCTGTTCTGTCACTTTTAGGGATGAGTTAGCCGGATGCAGCGAGAAGGCGTATGATTTTCTCTCTATTAAGGATGCCCGTCAAATGTTGCTGTTTCCTTCTGACCGCGAACTTTTGGCATATGTCAGTAAGGTACGTCGTGCGTAACATGTTATTTTCCTTTTTCATAAAAAGTCCAAATTGACTGAACTTCTTAAGTATAATATATCTTCTGTATTTGAAATCACGTAAAATGCCTACCGCTATCTGGCAGTAAGTTAAAAATGCATATCCTTGCAAATCATGAGTGGGAAAGGCACCTGTTCGACATGTAACTTTCCAATGATCTAAATTGGTCGAGCCCCTTGTTCCCAATTAAAAGACTGAATGGAAACCTTACCCGAGGCCTGGCCATGTGCTTCTTGGGCTTCAGTTTTTGAGTATAAAATCAAAATATAAGTAACACAATCCTTTCCCCATATTGCCAATTGGTTTTATGATGGAACCTCAACTTTTTTCGTGGTATTAGAGCCAAGTTGTCCCATGTGTGAAGCCAAATGACCACACGCGCTTCACGTAATCCCCCGTTGTGTTGTCCACGTGTTAGGCTTGAGAATTAGCCACACGTGAGGTGACATGTTGAGAATGAATCCCACATTGATGGGAGGAGAGACCTTGCATGGGCGCTTATAAGTAAGTTGGGCTACTCCTCATATTGCCAATTGGTTTTATGGTTGGTTCTACAAATTTATAAGACTTTGTTCCGTGGATACAGGATCATCCTGAGTGGGAAGTGAAGAATGATGCGGTCTATTTCCAGAAGGCAAAGGAGTCTGCACCTTGCAAAGAGATACCTTCTTTACAACTCATCAACCAAACTCTCAGCTACGCAAGAGAGTTGGAGCGGATTGTCTAAAAGAGCTGCTGCCGGATTCTGGTTGTTTGTTTTGTGATTCACAACTGTTGCTCATACCGTCACTTCCAAAATTTCTTCTCAATTTAGAACTGAGCCCAAAACTGTGTACTATTGTATTTTAGTTTGACCACATTGGGTGGCAATATTTTTCAGATTTTATGTTCTTGCAATTTCATTAATCAGAAAGGTTGCTTTACCCTTAGAATGGTGCTCTCGACACACTTTTTTTACCTTCTACACACCCATCATAATTTTCGGTTGTCAAATTAAATGATAGAAATTAAGAGGGGATGCGTGAAAAATAAAAACATGTGGATATCACCACCCTACTTTTAATTACAGATCTGTCTACTTGAGTTAAATGTCACACAAAAAACCAACAGGATCCTCACTGGATCCGTTTGGTGAGGATCTTGAGAATTCGTGAATTGCGTTTGTTTATTGTACATCGTGTGATCAATTTTTTTTAAGTACTGTTTATATTTATTTGTAAATAAAAATATTTAAAATAATTTTTGACCTCACGATGTATAATGAATGAATATTATTCACAGAACATCGGGATCCTCACAAAGAGGATCTGGTGAGGATCCGAACTCCACAAAAAAATGTATAGTATAATGCGTTGTGGGATGATTATTGGGTGAGAGATAAGAGATCCTCTCCAGATCTTTTCCACCAAAATCACTGGATCAAATGATTCAGACCTTAGAAATTTCATTAAACGATAAAAAATTATTATAACTTATACGAGATTAAAACAGATGGTCGTTTGATGAAATTTTAAAGACTCAAATCATTTAATCTGGTGGTTTGGTGAAAGAGTTCGAATCTCTTCTCTAGGTGAAACTGCCCCGCTATCCGTACCCCAAAAGTTTCATATCTAGTAGTTATATTTTTTATGCATTTCAGTTAGAATCTTTCCTTTTGCAATTTAAAATAGAAGTGATTATTCACTAAAAGTACCACATGTTCGGACCTTTAGGATCGCTCAATAAATTGTCATGTTATCATGAGTAGACCAGATTAACAAAGCTATCACCTATATCAGAAAGCCTAGCTGATGCAGGTTAATGATTAATGGTGGTTTACACGTGGCCCTCAGTCCTATTTGTATTGTCAAATAAATCCAATTCCAACGTCTAATTGGAATCCCCAACTGCTTTACAATTAAAATATCTTGTTGGCATTCCCTACCATATTTGGCCGTACTACCAAATTAATTGCAATTTCTTACCGTTTAGTATTACGATTTGGTTGTATTTTTCTTTATTTGGAAGTGAGAGGTTTTAAGTTCGATTCTCGCCACGAGTTTGAATAATATTATTGCTAGTCCATTGTGAAATTAAGTACATACTCTCTTTCTCTTACTGTAGTTAATATCGTTTGTTCAAAAAACAAAATTGCAATTTCTTGACTTTAATTTTCACATGATCCATCGCTCATTCTCTTAGTCGAGAAATTGGTATCATCATAAAGGGGTAGGGCAAAGTAGTTGGGTCGAAACGTAAGACATGATAAAATTGAACCACTGGATTAAATGTTTGTTGAACTAAAATTGCATCTTCTATTTACCCACACTTAATTTTCTTCAGCCAAGCAAGCCAACCAGTGTAATCATTCCACCCTTGATGCAACTTGAGATCAAATTTAAGATTCACCCTATTCCCATCAATTTTGGGGGTCCCATGTTTTACCTTAATCAAACCATCATGCGGACGACAAGTGGCTCGTTTTAATTAACTTATTAGGCTTTTCTTTTCCCCATTTTTCAAAGAATTCTGAAAGGAACTTGTTACATGCAAATAAATTTTCAATATAATTGTCACACTGTCACGTAATGTTACCAATTTACTAATGTTATAACATATGGACATGTTTACCCTATGTTCTTAATCAACTATATTATCCACTCATATCAATAACACGTTCTGCTGGTGTTATGAGTAATTTAACAACAAATAATTAGCCGCCTAGTTGATATTTTGCTTTGAAAATTTAGTAGTAATTTGTCATTTTCCTAATAAAACCACAAACAGAAGTTTCTCACTCACTTTTTTCTTGAGTGGAATGTCGGCATCTTCTATTCTATATTCTGAGAGTTTCTTGTCAACAAAGGCATACTTTTCCATGAAACAAAAACCAATTAGCTTTCTTTTGCTCTTCTCAATAATTGGATACTTCTTCAGACGACTCAAGTTTTAGCAACAAGTGCGTTTTGGATTGCAGTTTCTGCGCAGTGAGCTTACTTTTCATCTGAATTTTCTGTCGCCAGAACAACTTTAATTTCATAGACTCACGGGTTTTTTTGGCTTTCAGCTATAATTATATCAGAAGTTATATAATATATATATATATATATATATATATATATATCTGTGTGCGTGCGTGTGTGTATGTTGTTTTTTTTTTTTTTGCTTTCATCTGAATTTTCTGTTGCCAGAACAACTTTAATTTCATAGATTCATGTGGATTTTTTGCTTTCAGCTATAATTATATCAGAATTTATATATATATACACACACACGTTGTAGGTGGAAAAAATGCAGATTGTGAATTCTTCCTCTTCAGTTGCTTCTCCTCCCCGAGAGAAAGCTTCCCACCATGATGATGAACTCTTCATGCAGCAGAGAGTGCTCTTTTCAGAGAACCTCAATGTCTGTGTGCTTTTTTTTTTTTTTCACCTCTAAATTTGATCAATCTTCTTATTGATTTTAGAGTTGTTAAATGTTATGACAATTTGCTCATGCAGGAACTGAAGAATCTGAGGAAAGAGTTGTACTCAGCAGCCGAATATTTCGAAATGTCTTACAGCAAAGAGGACCAACAACAATTGTGAGTTGAAGACTTGTTTTTCCCAGGGAAGTGAATTTTGCAATCCCCTTTTCTCCCCTACACTCTAGTGCTCAAATTGAATGAATCATAAACAAGGGGAGTGCAAAAGGAGAAAACGGAAGTGTGAAAATCACTGCAATTTTTCTAACTAGCTCTTTCCTGTATTGTACTTAGGTTTCGAATCTTTAATTGTTGTTTCGATATTTTTTTTTGTTCGGGTAGAGTGGTGGAGACTTTGAAAGATTATGTGATGAAGGCAGTTATCAACACTGTGGATCACTTAGGTTCAATGGCATATAAGGTCAACGTATTTTTGGATGACAAAGTCGATGAAGTTTCAGAAACTGAGCTCAGGATGTCTTGCATTCAACAGGTATGGCATTTTACTCCATAGGAGTTGGAACATTTTTGCTCTGTTTAACTTTGACAAATTCCAAGCATTTTTGTGGCAATCACAGCGACTGAGAACGTGCGAAGATTTCATCGGTCAAGGGGGCGTCTCCAAACATTCGCTAGCCATAAGCTTTCCGATGCACCACAGGCGATATACCTTGCCAGGCAAGTATCCTTTTATAGTTCTATGAAGTTTCCTTTTTGGTTTTGGGTGACTACTATTTGAAGTTTCCTTCCTATTACGCTGCATTCTTAATTTGAGAGTTACTATGTGTTCAGTTGGGGCAGCCATGGATGCTGTCGGCCAGTCTGCCTTGGCATATCGAAGCCCTGCCGAATACGATTTCTTTGAGGTTAAATCTGGTATTCATTCCATCCTTACATGTTGGTAGTTTTCTTTGTAGTTATTACGAGAAAGATAATAGAATTCGAGACTGCGGCCTCATTTCTTAGCTATCTAATTTGCTCGATTAACACCCGAAAGGGTTTAAATTACCGGGAAAAATCTGATAATTTGTTTGTGTGAATATTTTTCTGAAGCAACGAGGGATACTTCTCCAATTGTCAGGTACATTTTTTAACGCTTTTTTTTCGTCTTTATTTGTTGATACAATGGATATTGGGAGAGAGGGGTTCGAACACAAAAACTCAGTGCATAGTGAATGCTCTTAATCGCGTGTGCTATATATTCTGATGCAGTGAAATGTCTTCTGCATTGCACTCTCCAGAATCTTCACCCGGAGCATTTCAGTTCCCAAGAATTGCATCCAAACATGGTTTGTGTAAAAGAAATTTTCTTCCATACAAACAAACTACAACCGAAAATAATAAGTTGGCGAGCCTTTCATTGATCTTGCTATGTTTATATGCAATTTATTTACTTTAATTCTATACATAAAATCAGAGAAAAGAACAGTCTCGCCACTCCGGTTTCCACTTCCACGTTGTGGTACTCATGTGAAGAGATCAAGCACTCTGAACTCTTCTAGCAGCAAACAGCAGGTAAGGCACTTTTGAACTGCAGAATGTCGAATACAATCCAACACATATGATGATATTAAGAATATAACCTTCAAATTATATTTCCAGTACTCGTCAGAGCCCTGGACCAGGAGATCAACTTCATTATCTCTTAATACAGAAAAATCCAGGACAAGAGACACTGAGCAGCATTCGGGCAAAAATAAACGCTTCTATAAAGCCTTGCTTAGCTTCGGAAAGTCTAGGAAGGACGCCACATTCTACAAATATTTGGATGAGAATTGAGAGCACATAACAGAAGAGAGGTAGAAGCTAGTCCGAATTTTTGTTTAGTCTTTCCCCCTTGTATTGCACGTGCTACAAATTTGTACATCATTACAAGGAAAGCGTAAGAACTGCTCAGTTTTCGAGTTTTTTTTAACATTTCCGCAAGAGAGCAACAGAGTGAATAAAATCTTCCAATTCACAATTTACAAGCACCGGCCATTTGGCAATTGATTAGAGAAGATCTAGGGTTTTCTGGTGTCACTCTCGGCTCTTGCATGAGGTCATTAGATAGCTAACTCAGTAAGTAAACAAGGATCCACTATAAGTTATCACCGGGCACGAAAGAACATTTCCCGGTAAAGTTGTTTAAAATCCAAGATCAAAACTTGGGCATACTTTGATTTGCTCCAAAACAGGCTCCTCAAAACGAGTCCTTTTCTCATCAGCGGCATCATGAGAAGCACACGAACTCGGACTTGATTTCTCTGAAGCGTATGCTCTGTCACGCTTTTTAGTGCCTGAATTATGCCGCTTGAAACAAGTACAAACACAATACATCGTATCAAAGCTACAAAAGTTCTCATGGTTGCCAAAAGAGTGAAATGCATTGTAAAAACAAGAAATCATACAAATAAAAGATAGCGGTGCAACTTATGTTGTCTTCCTAAATTTCAAGAAATATAACCATGGCCCTGGTTTTGTTTCCTCAACACTAGAGATACAATGATTTGAGTTTGAAGCTTTCTTCAAACAATCTTTGTCGTCGGACTTCCCTTCACCCTCTGGAAAAAACAATGCAGGAGACATGATCAAGACGTTAGCAAGCATCGATGTCTAAACTAATGCCGGAACAGCACCATACCTCCAGAACTTGGGTAAGGTCCACCGACCTCCACCAGATGTTTGGTAGCTCAAATATACAACCTGGTCATTAGGGGTGGCGAAGATAGGATCAATGGAGGAAAAAACTTTAAGCAGTCACTTTCAGAGATGCAAAAGTTCAATCTAAAAGAAAAACACCTTTCACTTACTAACCCTTTCCAGCAGCTTTATCTGTGATAGCACCCTACCCTGTTCAAGCTTTATTCCCGCCTCAGCAACAACATTATGTTTGTTTTCTCTTGTACGCAAATCTGCTACAGGTTTACGATCTCCTTCGCGTTTTCCAATTTCAACTAAATGAGCATCAAATCTTATTGATTCACCGGATGCTACCACTTCATCTTGGATGCTACCACTTCATCTTTCTTAAGGAACCTGCAGTCTAAATGATTCCTGCTTGCATCAAACAGTATCATCTGAACAGAGAGAAAAAAAAGTTAAATCATGTGCGTCAAGTTTGCCTTGAGTAAATTTGTTTGCAATCACACACACAGGGCAACAAAGAAATTCCACTTACCTAATTGGAGAATTTAAGGGGCAAAATTTGAGATTGATAACTAAAAAAGTAAGAAGAGACGGTTGAATGGCCATCCGTTGAGGTAAATGAGACTTGCAAATTAGAATAGAAGGATAGCGTTAGTGCAGGAGAATCCGTTTAGGATTACGTTGGGCTAAGTTTTGTAAATTCCTATGGGTTTAGGATTACTTGTATCTCAAGTCAGTTGACTAGTATATAACTCAACCTGCTTTCCAAAGACCTAAAAGTCGAAAATTATAAGAAACCGACATGATACTTCTTGGCCCTTTGAGTGAGTTGTGTGGTGTACAGAACCTGCCATTCTTCATTGTAACGAAATTAGTATTTCAAATGTGACGCAAGAAATCCCGAAACATCTGCCAGGTTCGTAATTTTCGAATTGCCTGAGCTCAGCTTCGTAGTTTAAACCAAACCCAGGGGTATTCCAGTAAATTTGGATGACCTCCATATAAACGACTCGTCGTTTAAAACTGCTTCAGCTTCGTGAATTCTCTTTCAAGTTAGGTAGCGCAGAGCTCTCTCGGAAATCTTCAGTCATTTGCTCAGATCTCCGATCTTTCTCGTAGATCCTTACGAAATCGAAGATTCGGAATCGAAACATGGTAATAATCTGTGAATTTTCTTATCCATGTATTTATAATTTGATTGAAATTTTGTGTTTATGATTAAAAATTAGGGTTTTTTGGTTATGGCATCCAGTCGGCGCTTTTCAATTTCAATTCGTTTTTGACGGTGGTGCTGCTCGTGATTTGCACGTGCACGTTCGTGAAGATGCAGTTTCCGGCCGTCCTGGAGCAGAAAACAGGGTCGGTAGTCTCACTTCCCCATTGCTTCTCTAATTTTGTAAATCTGTGTGTTTTTATTCATTTGATTTTATTTTCTGCTTTAATTAGAGTGTGTTTAATAAATGTTTAGCATAATCCAATCGTATGCATTGAAGCATTCTTCAGCATTTAATCGACGTTTCCTGTGCACATTGTTAGTTGAGGTTAAGAAAGCTTCATTTAAATGTTAATTCTGCCCGGGTGTTGCATATAGCATCGGTTTTTGGTAGGATTGCTTAAAAACAAAAGGGTTGCGATTTTAAGCACTTGCGGTTAGCCCAAGCACCGAGCGAGGGTGGGGAAAGGGGTTTAGGATGAGGATGGGTCTAAAGTTTGATTCCCTTCAACGTCACGAAGACAAGGGGTGTGATTTTGAAAACTGGATGCACACGCACAAGATGGTTGGTATTTGGACTAGGATTTGTGCAATTTACGTATTCTACTGCTTATCCTGCAAGAATGTGTACTTAGTGGTACTTGCATTGGTTCTATTTGATTCCGCCGTCTTATGTGTTTTTCCTCCAATCAGTGATGTATGTGTTTTACTGTCCTTCATGCTTCCATGCCTTTGTATGATATGTCAAACTTCAAGATCAATTCGTGTTCTGATATTGTTTCTCATCCTGGCAGGTTCCGGGGATTTTTCTGGAAGGCAGCTAGAATAGGTACGTTTTTTAAGGGTTTTCTTTCATTCATCTGCGATCTTGGTGCTGCTAGAATAATTTTGATTCCCCAGTCCATGTTTCTGGTGGATGACTTTTGTGTGGGTACTTGAAACAGGTGAACGCTTGAGCCCTTGGGTTGCGTTTGGATGCTTTACAATGGGGATCTCGATTATATTTTTCTAGGCACAAGTTGCTTTTGTGCTCCAGGAAGCAGCTGGATCTCTTAGTTCATTTGTCAATTTGTTCCAACGCGTCGCTTGGTTCTTGTTCTTGACCTGATTTTGCTCGAACTGCAACGCAAATGGATTTACGTGATAGGTGTCCGGCTTGCGCATATGATTTCAACATGTAGTTGGTGATTTAGATTAGCATTCCACAGTTCTTTGTTTCTCTTACCGTTCATGAATGAATTGAAACCAGCTTCTTGTTTCTGCGTTCGCATGCGTTAATCCTTTTGAATGAATTGAGTTAGGGTGTTGATTTTTTGTTATTTCTTTCTCTATACTTCTGAAGATAGACTAAGCAAGTCCACTCCTAAAAAAATGTGTTAGCATCCAGCCTATTTAATCCACTTAATGAATAGTGAGACCCCTAATAAACAGTAATAGGCCAGAGGCATCTCCACTACTCAAACATGTGCTGACACAAAGTCTAAAAAATGTGCTGGTGCAAACGATCTTCATCCCAACAAAATACGCAGGCACTTAGTCCATTTAATATTATAATTTTTTTTTATAAACTATTAAATAAAAAAAATAGTTTTAATTTTTTAAGAAATTACATAAAGTACTTACGAGGGAGCACTCCCTTTTTTCTTTGTCGCCTTTTTACCTTGAGGCTTGATGAACTGACGAGTCGGCTGGGTCTCCGGCACTTCTTCTGGCGTCCCTTCCATCTCTTCAAAAGTGTCGTCGTCTTGTTCGGCTATGTCTGCTTTTGGTGAATTGTGTAGACCCATGCTTTGCATGACAACTTTTGGACCAGTTGCCACAATTCTATATCTAGGGCAATCTTTGACAATTTGCCAACATTCCCATTTGTTGAATGATTAGTTGTGGTTCTTCGCATTGTAGAATGCTTGTGCTTGTAGTGTCCATAAATGTGGGATAAGATAGTATTATAAAATGCGGGTGTAACACAAATCAATAAATTAAAATATTGATGCAGGTAGAATACATATAAATAAATAAATAAAAATATTGTCACATGATTCGATAAACATGTCCCACTACGCAGATTACCGGAAGCATGAGAGATAGCATTTTTCTAACAAGTAAAGGATGTGTTGAGTTTTCTTCCAACGACCTTGAAGACCTTGACTACTTCTGGCGCCTTTTCCATGTACATCGCAAAACGCTTCCATAATTTTACTCCACATTTCTCGCTTATCCATCTCATTACTTGTAATCGGGTCATGAGTAGTTTGAACCCAACATTCACACAACGTAACATCTTCGATGAGCTTCCACATAGTCATTTTTTTCCACAAAAAAAAAAAAAAAAAAACATATATATATATATATATATGAAAGCTTTGGTTGAAAGTGTTGAAAATATTGAAATATGGTGTAAAGTGGAAGATAATGGTTAGGTATTTATAGAAAAAAATAAAAAAATTATAAAAAATTTCTGTATTTTTTTAAAAAATTTAATAATTTTTATTAACTTAATTAATCTAGACCGTTGGATTTGAAAAAGATTGAAATCCAACAACCCAGATGTTGACATGTGGACCAACGGTCATATTTCTGACCGTTTGTTTGTTTGTTTGTTTTTTATTTTTTGTATTTTTGGAATGAAAAACGACAACCATTGATCTCGAATCAGACGGCCTAGAAATTGCCACGTCAACTAACAATTACGTTCTAATTTCAAATTTTTTTGATTGTTGGAAATCCAACGACCTATAACGAGCCACGTGGCCACTCATGGGTGCAAATTGGTGCGCTGCAACAGCGGGACCCATGCCTTTTTTCTGTCGGGGAAGCGCCCCCACTATAGCGTGTATCACACGTGCCTAACGCAAAAAAAATATCAATGGGCTTTGACGTCAGGCTAATGTAAGCCTGAAATCAGATGGCCTGGCTTTTTGGTCTGTCGATTATGGGCCGGCCTATGGCTTGGCTTGGGCTGGGTGCCAGCCTATTAGGCTGGGTTGGAGGGTTTTAGTTGGGTATCGGGTTGTTTGGGGGCGTTGGGTGCCGGGCTATCAAGCCCCGGTGCACTTGCTCTAAACTTCAGGAAAGTGGGCAAACTCTCTCTCTCCAAGGTTTGCTTGATCACCTTGATATCTTGCAACCGAAAATGATTTTCGTGCACTCTTTTTTAGCTCAACCGACGTCTAGCGTCGAATGTACATACTTTTAAGTATTTTTATATTTTGTGAATGATCTATTATGAATCTTGTATGTTATCCATTTTAATTTAATCTAAAGCACCAGCCACCAAACGAGCCTTCTGCGCTATCCTAAGCAATAGTTAGATTATTTGGTATATTTTGTTATTTATATTAACCATACGAGCCCTTTGAATACTGATTTTGCCCAGGTGTGACGATTGGATTATTTTGTCTGTTTCGTTTTTCTCTATTAACCATTCAAGCTTTTTGAGCTCTGAATTAGCTTTGGTGTCACAATTGGATTATTTGGTATATTTTGTCTTTGCATACTATGTCAACGATTTATTTTTCAAATCTTGTGAATCATCCATTTTGATCTAATATAAGCATCCCTCTAAATTAGTTTTGGCACAACGGTTGGATTATTTCACCCATTTCTCCTTATTATATGGAATTGATTCCAATTGTTTCCTTACTAACCAACTTTTGATGGGAAGTTTTATAGTCGCCTCATTAGGATTTGAAGGATTCATCTTCCTTCTCTTGGGGTAAGTTTGAGCTTGCACATGGAAAGCTATTTCATGGGGTGGTGGAAGTAACAAAATCAGCATTTTATTATTGCGAACTGAGCAAACATTCAATATTTTTGGACAAAAAAAAGTTGGTAATTTTCACACACCTCAATTTGTCTATCGCGCGCAAGTTGCCATTTACTACAGTGGTGGCGAGGAGTGTTGCTCTAGCACCACGACGTGGATTAGAGGAGTGTTGTCCTTGCACCATGACATGGATTCAAACCCTATCAGCTCTCTAATCTAACATCTCTATCATTTGACCAAAAAATAAAATTTATCTCTCGAGCACCTAATTGTTTAATAGTTTTAGCGTGTATCTTAGGCAAAATGAGGCGTGTAGTTATTTTCACACACCTCATTTAAACAATTGCAAAATGACCTCCTTATATATAATTACAGAAAAATTAGGGGTGTGAAAATTGCCAACTTATAAGTTAAACTGAAAACCTTATCTAATTATTTTCATATCTATCCTTTTAATATATATTTTTATTTTAAAAATGTGTACCCCCTTCTTCAAGTTCATGTTTAATTCAGAGAGTTTTAATAAAATAATCCGCTACAATTCATGTCTAGTAGAAGCAGTAACCAAATCCCTTGATCCATATAAAATAAGAAGACGATTTATTATCATCATCATCATCATCATCATCATTGCAAACTGAGAAAATATCCATTTTAATTTGCATATCCCAAAAGAAATTAGAGAAAACATGCATGCCTCTAATTAAATTGGAACAAATCCAACAAAAAGGCCTACCTAGCTAGAACAAAACCCTAAAACCTGAACGATAAGTAAAAAATTTAAAAATTCTTAAAAAAAAAAAAAAAACCCTACATAGATGATCGATGACCAACTAACAAACCCTACCTAAATGATCACAAACTATTAATTCGAATTAGTTAACCTCTATGAGGTACTCTGGGCTGATAACGTTGAGCGCAATTTTGTCTGAGCTCGGAAGCATAGTAGTTATTGTTGAACTGATTGAACATTTGGCCATAACAATATTCATCAATTTCCACGACGGCAGCAAAACATTCCTGTCCAACGTGAGTAAAATCGGCAAAAAGGAATCCACCAAGAATGTCAAGCACACAACTTTCTACCGTATTTAAAGACGACCGACATCTCTAGAAGTGTTGCCCTTACACCATGGCATGGAGGTAAACCGTGTCGGGTTCCTAATCTAACATCGCTATCATTTGACCAAAATTGTTTTTTTGTCTCTCGAGCACCTTTTTTAATTGTTCAAGAGTTTTAGCGTGTATGTTATGCAAAATGAGGCGTGTAGTAATTTTCACACACCTCATTTAAACAATTGAAAATGAGCACCTTATATATAATAACATAAAAATTAGGGGTGTGCAAAATTGCCAACTTATAAATTTTAACTGAAAAACTTATTTAATTATTTTCATATCTATCCTTTTAATACTTTTTTTTTATTTTTTAAATTTGTACGCCCCTTCTTCAATTTCATGTTTAATTCAAAGAGTTTTAATAAAATAATCCACTGCAATTCATGTCTAGTAGAAGAAGTAACCAAATCCCTTGATCCATATAAAATAAAAAGACGATTTTGTTGTAACCTTTCCTAGTTTAAATATGATTGTGTAAATCCTAGATTAAATTGGATTCTAGTTATCCTTTCCTATTACAACTTGTATTCCTTGGGGATGAAGGAATATTCTCTCTCCTTTTACTACTATAAATAAAGGCACTGTATAAGAGAAATAACACACACATTTCCCTACAGTTTTTACAAACACATCTCTCTCACTTTCTCTGCCCTTGCCACCGGCCCTATTCCCTTTGTCAGATAAAATAGGCTACAACACATTATCAGTACGCTCCTACCACTGCACTTAGGAATCTGATGTTGAAGAATTTTTCTACATCAAACTAGTTCATCCATGTCATCACGGAATCAGGTTCTTTCAAAACAACGGTTTTTATCTCGATACTTATGTAGCCCTAATAGCATGAACATTCACAATAATGCATGACCCAACTTTACGTTTTTCGAATTTTAGATTCTACATAAATTGTGTATGCATTATAGTCATAATTGTTGAATTATGTGAATTTGATATTTGCCATGAATTGCATCAAGTATATGTACATGCATTAAAATATTGAATTGCATATGCATCAAATTAAATTGCATATGAATTGAATTGGAAAAAAAAAAAAAGGGAAAACAAGAATTGTGCTAGGGTTCTTCGAACCCCCGACCTTGCCCAGGCCTGCAGCCTGCGAGCTGAGTTGCACCGAGCCATCAGCTCTTGGCCTGACTCTATGTTGCTGGGCTCCCCACGCTAAGCTGAGAACCACCAAACCACGGAGCCAGAAACTCGAAGCTTTAAAACCTAGAAGTCCCAACACCATTGATGGTGTCCCTGTCCACATCGACCATAGGCATGGCCTGCAGCCACTACCCTGAACCTTTGGTTCACGTCACCAACGACTAGAAGCCATCCCACGTTGGAAATTTGACTGAGATTCACTTGAA